CGCCGGATATGCTATGCTCGCTGTAGGGAGCGAACGACGCGTCCGAGTACACCCTGATTCCATCCGGCTTGCCTGGAACAAGGGAAAGTCTCTGAGCCTTGGTTCCCGCCAAGAATTCCAAGACCCTCTGGCCTATCTTCACCACATGCCTTGGTGACCTCGTGGTCCAGGAAGACATAAGTCCTACACTAAACCCCAAGTCCAACCTAGTCCGCTGCGCAACCCACAATAATTCTCCGGTTATGCGTTGAGCTGCTCGAAGATCTTGATCCTCGTACTCCTCCTGAGCGGGAAACTCACGCACCCACTCCTTCGGCACGGGCACAGTGGCTCGCGGGTTTGGCTGCACACTATGGCTCCTCATGAGCTCATCTATATAGCCTTCTTGTCCCAAACTAAACCCTATTACCCCGTGCTCATCACACTCCTCGTATACATCGACTCCGAGGAATCGCAGCGGCGTGGTCTGCGTGGCTGTCTGTAGGTCCGTGCACTCCCATCTCTCCCTTATCCAGCGAAGAAAGGCCTGAGCCACTGGTTCCTCAGTAACCAGTAGGAAGTCATCTACATATGCCAGAAGATGTCCTAGACATCCCCCGGATTCCAAGTCCATGGACCAGATGTTCGACTCACTGGACAACTGTCTAAGCTTCATGCGGCCATACTCGGTTTCCCAGGAGGCTGTAGATAGTATGCTATCACGGTGGATTGACCACCAACGCGGCGACTCGCGGAAGCCGTAGAGTGCCCGCTCTATGAGCCAGACTTCGTCGGCAGTGCAGATGCCGAGGTCAGTGAGGAGTTTTGGAGGTCTAACTCCATATCTCTTCTTCACGTACGAAGGGATAGGAGCAAGTAAAAACGCACTCTTCACGTCCAACCCGAAGCATCGCCTCCCTCGTCGTCCCGCATGCACGAGCAAAGTTCTCAAGCTTTCGGCGCCTGCTCCACCTGCATATAGCAGCGCCTCTTCCGTGGATGTAGCAAAGTTCCCGCACGAAACCACACGGACCTTACGTTTATACGGCTGCGCGGGCTTCACCGTACATACAGCCTTGGCCGGAACCATCTCGATGGTCCCACTTCTCAGAACATTCCGGGCCTCCTGCCCACGAAGTCTTCTGATTGCACCCATCGACTCGAGGGACTGGACTTCGGTCCTCGCAGCCTCCTCCCATCGGGTGAGATGCAGCCTGACTTCTGACGGACTCACATTGTGAACGACCTCTAGAGGACCTTCCAACCTGCTTAGGAGTTCCTCAACATTGGGGGTATATGCAGTTTCCTCCACTCTTCTAACTTGGGAAGGCTCTACTGCTTGCCCTCCAGGTTCCATCGCTCTTAACGGCCTATCGGTGGGCACGCCAATTCGCACTAAAGAGCTTAATGCCCTCTCAGGTAGTGTGCCTTCACTGCCTGAGACTGCAACTACACCCTGTGGACCTGTCTGCACGCTACTGTCATTATCTAGTGGACCTGACTGCACGCTACTGTCGTCATCTGGTGGACCTTGGACCTGTGACCTCAATGCCATGCACCTATGTTCATAAAGGACCTGTGGTGTGGTTGAATCCGTCGGATCTTCCTTCATCTCCTCCGGAACATTATCAGAATCATCTAGTTCGACCTCTGGTACTTGCTTCCCTTCTGCTGTCTGTCTATCTGCACTCGAGGACGCTGGCGGCCATGCACTGGACGCAGAAGGGTCATCATCATCATCCCACATTGCCTGCATGTACATCATATGGAGGTGGTCCTCCAAGCAATCCCCTGATTGATGAGGACGCCTTAGGGCTTCATGCGAAGACATCGCTTTCTGCCGGGGGACCTGTGGTGTGGTTGAATCCGTTGGATCTTCCTGCATCTCCTTGGGAACCCTCAGGGGATCATTGGCTTCATTAAAGACCCCTAGCTCGACACCATCCTCCCTCACACCAAGGCCTGGCAAGGGTGGAGCTGGGTTACGTTGGCTTAGGGTCCTATTTTGAATAACCCATGGTATTTTGCGTTGTGCACGATCATACAATCTCACTTCTCCGGTGGTGAGGCTAGAGAGGTTCGGCTTGTCCGGTCGCCTGATGCCAGGAGGATGAATGCCTTGCATAATTCGGCGCGCTGTCTGTGGGTTGATTCCAGCTTCCATTAGATCTTCCTCGTATAGATACGGCAGGTCCACTGGAGTCTTTATGCCTAGAAAGGTGAGGCGACGAAATTCATGCTCAGCATATCTCTCCCGGAGATACACACACATGTCGACCCCTGCTAAGTCCTCACGGCCATCAGCGAACTCACCCGGATCCCCGTTACTGAAATCCCAACCCACCAACTCGGTGTTGCTATGGGGCTGCAAGTCATCCATCATGGATTCCCCTTGGCACGGCTCCTCCTGTGCGCCAGAGCCTTCGGAGTCCTGCGGGCCTTGATCACCTGCCCCAATAACCTTCACTTGCACTTCCTCATCAGGCTCCGAGGGTAGCTGGAAACCATGATCACGTAGTCGTTGCCAGTTGCCCTCATCAAGCTTGGCTGAACCCAGGGGGGTATATCCAACGACAATCCAATCCGAAACCCTTCTTAGTGCATGGGGCTTCCTTGGGTCTAAGACTAGGGCCTTCTCTGAGAGTGGAATCACCTCGTCTAAATCCCAACTCAATGGCTCCTTCCCAATCTCATTGTCCCTCCTGCGCAGCTGAAGAGATCCGGGAACACAGAATACGTAATTCCGAGAGTTCCACTCGTTCCTAAAGTCCCGATGCTCTTCAACCTCTGTACCCCTTGTTATCATGAGGGCAGTCCAGGTAGCTCGGGAGGCACCCTCCAGGATCCCAGTTTTCTGGAACAAGATACGATTGAGGAACCTTACCGTCAAGGGAAATTTGCTAGTCAACTTAGTAATTCCCCTCTTGCCTCCATGGCAATAGGCTCCAAACACGAACCTTTCCCTTAAAGATCCCCGGCGATCCTTGGATGACGAATCCTCTAGAGGAAGCCTCTGCACGAGACCGCTCAATGCCTGGTCTGAGTAGTCTTCCTTTACTAGACATGTGCATGCATATGACTCCAGGTCGCTGCCAACATCACACTCCACAAACTTCACCGCTGTCTTGCTCCTCAGGCGCCGTTGCGGTCCGGAGTCCTGAAGTGGACCCTCGTGTGCCTCTGGATGGATGGGGGCCTCAACCTCGTCCAACTCTTGCAGTTTCGGTAGATGCAACGATTCCAACTTTGTCGGGTCGACAGGATCAGCCCGGAAACCCTTTGAGGCCACTAAGTTGCCCTGCTGAGTTATCAACACATGGCCATCAGGTATTGAAGAATGGGGTGCGGCATACTTAGTCTCAATCCATCGATTCTGAAGCTGTCTCGACCCATCTGGTGGCTGCTTTACACGATGCAACACACCTTGACCGAAGGCTGGTAGAGGAGGGATTCCTAGAATCTTCCTGTTATGAGATTCCGCAGCCCATCTTGCGGCCAGCGGCCACCAGTGAATAGGCAGCTCTGCCGACTTGATGAGTGTTCTTATGCGGCTCTTAACCCACCCCACCGTCCTTTCTGCCAGTCCATTCCCCTTTTTATCTGTGGGGAGGGTGTGCTGAAACCTGATGCTCTGGCCTGCTAACCACCTTGAAAGGCTGGTCGTGATGAACTCCGTTCCCAGGTCTGTATGAAGGATTCGCACCGGGTAGCGAGCATTGATGGCCAGGATCATCTTCTGAAGACCTTCTGTCACCTCTGGACCTCCCTTCCCCTTTAGTGGAATCACGTACCTTAACACCACTTGCTCCACAGGCTCTTGCAGTTGCTGCACTAGCTCCTTAAAGGCCTCTGGGTCCTGAGGAAGATCCTCTGGTGTCATCAAAGATACTGGCTCTGCAGCTTCAACCGCCTGTGCCCTGAATGGAACCTCACCTCTGGCACAGGTGTCCGCACTGGGAGGCCTTAGCATTTCTTCTAGGTCATCTTTCTGTTCCTGACTCAACGGGGCCTCGATAGCCTCCGGTGGCTCGGAAGGCTCATAGTCCTCAAGACGCAGATCTTCTGCGCTGTCGGCCAAGACTGCGTCGGATGCTCCTCCTGGGTTCCTTAGGTCCTGCACACCATCGCAACCAGGATTACCTTCAATGGCAGACCTTGGGAGTCTGAAGGCTCCTACTAGAGCGTATCTCAGGTTACATTTTCCGGATACACACGTTTCATCTCTACCGTGCTCAAGGCTGGGAACTGGACCAAACAGATCAGCACTTAACGTGTAGCTTTGTGGGTGTCGGATTCTGCGGTGCTGAACACCCACCGCAGCGCCTTCAATACACTGCTTGCAGTCTCTGCGGTACGGCACATGACCGTTGATAATGTGGTCTCGCCAACGGTCCAAATCCTCCCGACCTAAACCTCCAACCCTTTGAACCTCTGCACTCAGAGCTTGCCCCACTTCCGCGTTGCACTCCTCCTCGTCCTCCGAGGAGATCACACTCTCAGCCTCAAACATACGCGCAAGGGCCTCGCTATCCTCATTAGGCGAAAACCCTGGGTCCTTGGGGGTGTGTACCCTCTTTGAGATTAATTCATCCAGCTCGGTGCATGTAGGGGTGGTTGGCCGCCCCCTCAAAGCTCGAACTATCTCTCTGCGGAAATCCGTGGTCCACTCCCGAGTGTGAGGAGGCGTCACTTCCTCCTCCCTGGCAGATAGAGCTCCCATGAATCCCATCTCTAAGTTCGCGCATATAACCGTAGGTCTTAGATACCGGGAACCCATAGTCCCCTTTGTCACTATGAGGTCGCTGGCACCTGACCAGGCTGCGAAGTCCTTCTGGATGTGATCTGGCAGTCCTGGGTGTTCGGCCAAGTAAGGAATCCCAGCTCCTCGTACAGCTGAGGCCAACGACCAAAGAAACATGCCCCGCAAGGCTAAGGATTGCTTATCCCCGGCTTGACTGTTGGGAGGGGACGATAGGACTCCCACGATCTTACCCAAGGAGGCTGCCCACATTAGAGCCTTCCATACCCCATTAGGCTTGCACAAGTCCCATCCCTTTCCTCCCTTTTCTAAGACATCTACACAAACCATTGACATTCCCTGCCCCTGGCACCACTCGGCAATTGGCTCGTTGGGCCTCGGCCTACTTGAACACAAGTGCACAATCCATCTGTCCGACGCCAGAAGGCTCCTCCTGGCGGCCCGCTTCAACGGAAGACCCTTTAATACTGCCTTCCCATCATCCAGGTTCCCAACCGTAAAGGCCTCAGCTAGAGTTGCCCGTATCTCATCCGGCACCGCCTTCAGGTAAGGTTGCGCCATCACAGCGCATAGTGCATCCCTCCGGGTGCCTGTGGTCGCATATGCTTGCAACGCCTCTGTGGGATTGGGACTGGTCTGAATGACCTCCAGCGAACACTCCAGATTCTGGACCTGCTGGCGGAAGCTATCCAAACGACTGGCCTCTAGCTCTGCTATCAGCTGTAGTGCCTGTTGCTCTTGCAAGTACGGGCACGTGTTGCGGCCTACCCCTGTACTCAGTACTCCTAGAGTTGGGTGCGTCACCTTTAAGCCCTTTCGCTTACTCCACTCAACACGGCATCCTAGGCTTTCTACCAGGGCTCCTAATGGGAGTATAGTTTGTGTTGGTGCGTCGCCCGGGCCCGCCATTTCCGGCGGTACGACGAGCGTTCCACCAGCTGTCTTGAGCCACTCTTGTTTAGCCTCCCCGGCCAGCGTCACAGGTACTCGCTCCAGCCCTGAGAGTCCCTCTTCATACGGTATTACTGCATGGGTTGCTCCACTGTCGAGTAGAGCGGCCATTTTTACTCCCTGCTGGGGCCTGCACAGCCTAACCTCACACTTGCGCACTTCATCATTCAGCTCTTCACGCTGCGCGACCATCCTAGCCATTGGACCCCCCGTAAGACCCTGTTTAGCACTACAGGCCCTAATTTCCGGATTCCCGGCCATTGCTCTCAGCGAGTCCAGCTGAGCACTCAGCGAGGCCAGTGTGACCGGCGTGCCTGCAACCGTTCCCTGACCTGCTGCCTTAGCTGCGGGAGGACCGGGTGCCGTGGATATTGGGACAGCTGCTGGCTGCTGATCCTGAGGCTGTACGGGTATGGCCTGTTGTAAGAACCTAGCTGCATCTGCCAACATGCTCTTAATCTGCTGCTGACCTACCTCCGTGCTCGGAGGCGGTGGTGGCGGAGCCTGTGCACCTTCGGGGCTACTCTTGGGATGCCTAGGAGGTCTTCCCTTAGCTTTCTCCTCAGGTTTGGTTCCGGCCTTACAGTCAGCCAGCTTATGGTTCTTAGAGCCACACGCCTTGCACCTTGCGGCCTTGTCAGCAGCGCTAAAGGATGCCCAGTTATGCTCGAAACCACAGTCTCCACCCTTCTTACACCCATTATTCCCAACGTAAAACGTACAGGAAGGCCTCTGGCCTGTCGGGGCCTCAGGCAGATTTGGTGGCTTAGGAGGATTCGGCGGCTGTGGAGCACCCTTAGGGTTCTTAGGGTTCTTGGGGGCAGGAGGGGTCTGCTGCGCCTCTACTCCCTTAACCTTTGCTGTAGGCTGAGTGCCCGTGTCCTTGTCGGAACCCTTGCTGCGGTCCCCACGATGGGCCATTGCCTCCAACTCGCTCAGTAGCTGGGCATGCAGTTTCATTACTTTAGCGTCGTCGGGGGTAAGGTCTACCTGTAGGGAGGCTCTTGTGAGGTTAACCCTGAATGCAACCTCCGGGTACTGCTGGAGCACCTGTTTCGTGACCTTGGTCAAGGCTCTCACCTGGATTGCCGGGTCCGGCAGTACACCTCCAAGCTCGGTCATCCTAGCACACCAACGCTTCCACCTCCTAAGAACCTCTATGCACTCCTGTACTGTAGTTCCCACCGGTGGTTCCGAAATGTGCTTCAAGCCAAGCTCACGCTCCATCAACGTCCCAGGACCATATATGATGAACAGCCTGCTCACCAAAGCCAATAACCCCGAAGTTCTGGAGGCACTCAGTTCCTCCTTGACCTCCTTCGGCGCAGCGGCGAGGAGCATGGTCTCGATGCGTCGAGAAACTCTCGCCCACTTCACCTGCGAGAGTTCCGGAGATGGCTCCGGCTTGGCAGTCAACCTATAGCTAGCGGCTCTAGCTTGAGGTACTGGGTATACCAAGATGTCGCCTCCTCTACAGTACCTCTCCATAACTCCTCGGAAGTGTCTGAGACGTCCGCCAAGGCAGGTTTGGGTGCATGCAACCAATCTGCAAACGCTAGCGACGACTCGGGTCCATGGTTGGGGAGATCTGGGAGAGAGGTTACACCTGGCTTAATGACCTCATACTTAGCACTAGCCTTGGGACTAGCTAGCTCTGAGACTACACTCTGAAGCTGGGCCATACCCGTAAGTACTACGTCTATAGGATCTAATTTACCCTCATCGGCAGCAGTGGGCCCCGCTGAGGTCTCAGCGAGCCCTTGGCGGACTTCCTGCTCAGCATGGGCTGGCGCTGTTAAGGGTGGATTAGGGCCTACGGGGTAACCCTCGCTCACTGTCTCCATACCCATCTGCTCATACCTAACCCTATCAGTCAGTGCGGGGCTCGGGACTAAACCACAACTACCTCGACCTAAGGCAGAAGGCTCAGGCCTCGGCGGCAGCGCTCTCGACTGAACAGGTGGGGAAGAAATCCCCGGGAACTCAGGCAAGGCTCGAAATTCCAAAGCCGTATGATGAGGTGGAGGCCCTGGAGGAGGCGGTGGTGGTGGACTCGATTCCAGAGCCACAGGAGGACGAGGTTGACCCATCAAGGATCCCAGCCCTCTTCCCAACCAACTTAATCCAGGGAAACCCACATGACCGTTACCCTGTCCTGAGGCCTGCATCCCATTCTGTACATCACGCTCGGACCTGAGCCTCAGGCTCTGGTTTTCATAAGACAAAGCTTCTACCTGAGCCCTAAGACGTCTACTCTCCTCGTCTCTCACAGCCATAATCTCCGCCAACTGCCTTCTCACTTCCGCCTGCACATCACTTGACGAAACAGAAGGAGGTCTCGGCGGGTGGACGTTGTCCGTGTCATTGTTCGGGAAGAACAGCGGGGCACTCTCTTGCAGCCTCCGCATTCGTTCCAGCACCTCCGGTTCCAGCAACGAAGTTCCCAGAGGAGGTGTCTCCACTGGAGGCGCCCGGGTTTGATCCACCGAGGACCTGACAGAAGCATATTCCACACTGTCCCTCGCATCTGGGGTGCGCTGGACAGAGCGTCCCGATCCAGACCGGTTCACGAGGTTCTCGACGGTAGCTGGCAGTGTCTGCACTGCTCGCAATACCCCTGAAAACACTCCTCCTGATCCAGGACCATGAATCTGCCCTTGGCTATGCACCTCAGTTAGGATCATCCCAGAAGGGGCTGCTTGCGGTGGCACATCTGGTGCCAGTGCCCTCGCTCCCTCTGCCAGGGGTCTCCGGACATCAAGACTCTGTCCACCAGCGTTCATGCTAGTGGGCGGCGTAGGAGATTGAGATGGACGAGGAGCGTCAGCCGCGCCGTCCGTTGCTCGTTCAGTCTGCTCTGCCCGAGCTCCCATCCTCACTTCGTCATCCAAGTCCTGAGGTCCACGAAGAGGCCCTGGTGCCCCGTTCATCATCGGGTTACCAGCGGCCTGACTCCTCTGCGCAGTAGTTGCTCTTGGGCTAGTCATAACCTGTTGATCTGGTAGATCGTGATTGTTAGGGTTATCTCCAGCAGTGGCCATGCTTATCTTCTCGATATCTCTCCAGAATCACCAGAACAGAAACCAATCAGACAGCCATGGCGCTCACCTACCTTTGATTTCCTCGAACGCAACATGGAAGCTTCTGTTGTCCTCTAGACTAACATGTCCAATTGCTGTTCTCATGGAGCTCTGCTCCTTTCAGCCTTCATGGCTACATCGGCAGCCACGTTTCTGCACTCCTCCTCAGTCACATCATCCCTTTGGGATGGAAGACTGCGTTCCCCTGTTATCACGGGCTGCTTGAAGACAATACCGACAGAACATCCTACGATGAGTACCCGTAGAGTTTCTTAGCACGTGACAACTGGGAAACAAATGCATAGCTCCCGGTCCTCGGCCTGTAGTGGTTATTACTTGGAGCTCGCATAATTCTTGAAAATCTAGACCTCTTTCACGGAAGGTTTGAGTGGATGCATCCCTCGTGGACCTCGTTACTCCTTGATACCCTTGAACCTGGGAATCGAGCCGGGCTCCGCGGATGAAGTCAGGGCACGGTGGAGGAACGGGTATAGAATCAGAAGGCAAGGCATCCGTAAATCCAGTAGAATGCTGAGGGCCTGTGGTGCCGAGAGCGGTCTCCCCAAGTCCAGGGGGGTAGGGTGGAGGATCAGGTTGATGGTACTTAATGTCCTGAGGCTGCCGAGAGGTGCTTTGAACCACAAGAGGTTCCGAGCCAACTCTCACATGCACATACGAACTGACCGCTGCCTCGCGCTCTTCCCTACTTGTCCTGCACCTGAGCCCTTCGCCTGGAAGTTCACGCTCAATGGCACGACGAACCGCCTCTTGCCTTCGGCTCCTACGGGCACTAGCCTCGTCATCATCATCATCTGCTCTCAGCACTCGTATGCTGTGTTCACCATCATGACGACGCGAACAGCATGTACGCACACACTGCTTACTGGTTTCCCACATGAACAACACCGCCATAGTCATCATCACGATTAACAACGACAGTTCCAAGCTAAGGGGATCCTTGGCGTCATCTTCGTCCTCAACTGTTTCCCCAAGCTCAGCTTGAAGAAGTATTATGATCATCATCAGAGCAACTCTTGCTTGAGCACTGCGGTCTACAGTCACCATCGGTGGGCCTCCTACGCTTAGGGTGGAGGGGCTAGGAGGTGGACGGTGCCCTATGCTAACCTGAGCAACCCTTTCCTGTGACCCCTGTATACCCAGACCCAACAACCGGCTTAGCATATCGTTGCGTGGCTTTGGGAGAGCCTTTGTTAAGCAATCTGCAAGTTGGGTTTCCCCTGGACAATGAGAAACCTCTAGCTCGCCCCTTGACTGCATGTCGCGGATGAAGCTTGCACGTACTCTCAAGTGGCGCGTCCTCTGGCTGCCTCCACGATTCCGCTAAGGTGATTGCAGCGACGTTGTCCACAAGTAGCTGCTTCTTACTGCTAGCTCCCTCTAACTCATTCACCAGAGCTTCAAGAGACTGTCCTAGCACTATTCCCTCACATGCGGCAATTAGTTCAGCTTCCGCCGTACTTAAGCTCACTAGTGATTGCTTTTTCGACTTCCATACCAGACAGCACTCGTCGTACTGCACCACTA